CTATTACAAATTAATTTACAGGTGATGGGTCTTGCTCAAGTCCTAATCAATATATACAATTAGTGCCATTATCTTTGTCCTAAGAATTTAAAAGTTCTATAAATCTATAATGTTCCAAATATATAAGTAAAGTTCCTTTATATGTACAGAATGTGAATTAGATACTGATTATACAAATATCTATTGAGCATGCTACTCAGAGTTATCTGCATCCACAGAACCCTCTGTTATTCCAAGATGTTCCCGGTAAATGTTTGTTGATCCTTGGATTGCGTCAGTCCAACACAATTTCCTAAACAAAGAACGATATCGTTTGGACATCCCAAGTTCTCGTAAAACGTTTTCATTGGCTGGATGCCAGGAACCAAGGGCACCGATCACAAAACCAAAGACCTCGCATTGTTTTCCTTGACCAACGAAGAATTGCTTCAGCCCTTCATATTTATTAAGTTTCCGTTGTTCAGCGTCACGCAGGGCTTCAGCATTATTATCGAAGGGGCAACATGCATCAATAATAAGCAATTTGTTATCTTCTTCTACCATTATGTCTGGGCGAAGACGAGAATTAGCGGCGCGAACTTGTTGGTCGGTGGTGACAGTTCCACTTTGAACGGCGTTGACGATGCGGTCCACTATGGTATTGTGTCTCCGCAGGATACTAGGCATGTTACGAAGGCAGTGGCACAACACATGAGGGAGAGTCTCATCCGAGTTACAATGGCGACATTTTGGACAGGAATTAGACCAACGACTCTTGACATTATTTACTGGGAGGCAGTTAAGTCGAGCTCGGTGGATGAAACGCCAATCTCTGAAACGAATGTTTAATCCATTATATTGCCAGGTAGAACCATTGGCGAAGGTGCCAGTAGTAAGCGCACGGCCCACTTTTCCTTGATCAGGAAGAGCAAGTAAGGTGGAAGCAAAACTATCTTGAACATGAAAATGAAGAAAACGACTGGCTTCTTTGGCAAGAACAGAACCAGAGTTCTGAGTGGAAAGGATAGGGAGACCATTGTCATTGAATTGAATTTCAACACCAAGGTTACATGTCGATTTACGAACTCGGGTCCATAATGATAGAATGTTATAACGTAAGTTGGTCAAACGGTCATCGGGGAGGCTAGACAGGTATTTAGATTTTAAAGCTGGGGTTGGATTAGATCGGCTAGCGAGTCGGACAGTTTGGTTTATCTCAGCAATAGCAATGTTGCTTAGTGTTGGGTCGGAACAGGAGAGCATTTTAACTGCACGAATTATAGCCTGGACATCAGCTTCAACGGTTGGATTCAGGAGACCGAGACCACCAACGCGCTTATGAGCGAAGATGTAGGAAGCAGAAGCACGAGATGGTAGTGCACATGTCTACGAACTGTGGCCACGAGGTGGGAACGGCATACCAAAAGATTATCTTTTTTGGGAAAACCAGGACGAAGAGCAAATGTTAAGGAAGGTTGAAGGAAGGTACGGATCATGTCCAGTTTTTGCCGTGGAGCTGACAGTGATTTCTTGATGCTCTCCAAATCACGAGTAAGATCCTGTACCAGATCCGAGATGTTGTCAGGGTCATGAATTAAGCCAATAGGAACACCAAGGTATTTGTAGGCGTTTTCACGGTCAAGTGGAGGGATAGGTTTGTTTTGAACTATAAATTCATTAAGTTCGAAAGACGACTGTGAATTGTTTGAACAAGTCAAACTGATCGAGGCACACTTATCAGCTCTGAAGGATAAGCAAAGGTCTGTTGCGGTAGACGAGGCAATGTCTAAAAGCTTCTGGAGACGGTCTTTCTTTCTGGATATGATGACAAGATCATCGGCATAGGCAAGCACAGAGAATGGATGCCGTGAACTTTAGCAGGGCCATTGTTGGAAGCAGATCGTTTGATCGCTCGGAGGATTAGATCAATGGTCAGGTTAAAGATAATTGGGCTCAACGGACATCCTTGCTTGACACCGGATAGGACCGGTATATCAGTAGTAAGACCAGTGGGGGTACGTATTTGAGTAGTGGCTCCAGCGTAAGAGTTTGTGATCATTTCTATCAGCGGAAAAGGCACTCCAATGTGCGTAAGGGTGGTGGTGATTGCAGAATGTGGAATACTTCCAAAAGCATTACGTAGATCCAGCCAAGCGACAAAAGCGTTTTTGTGACTGCGTCTAGCTTAACCAATGATGGACTGAAGGAGAAATGTGTGGTCATAAAAGCCTTCGGAACGACGTGCACTATTCTGTTCTTTAGATAAAAGATCATTATCAATAGCCCATGACGTTAACCGTTTGGCAATAACTCCCATGACTAACTTGTAGAGACATGACATCAGAGCAATAGGTCGAAAGTTGGAAGGGTTGTCTGTGGAACCTTTCTTGTAAATTAGCACTGTAATCGCCGATTTCCAGGCTGGCGGAACGTCGCGTTTCTTAAAACAATGGCTGAATAGGAGAGAAAGGATAGAGCACGATGGGTCAACTCGCTTTAGATGGCGATATTCAACGCGATCAGGACCCGGAGACGTATTGGCAGCAGAGACAAATTTCCGTCGAATTTCCTTGCTTGTTGAAGTTGTAAATAACGAGTCATCAATTGCAGCTGGAGTGGTGAGATCATTTAGTTTATCTTGAAGAGACGTTATATCACAATTACGAAGGGAAAAAGTGTCCTTGAAAAACGATTCGGCATTTTCAATTGATCCTGAATAGGGAGGACAGTTTGGCGATAGGATTTTCCTTGCTGCTTTTTTCCTCGAATGACGGTATAAAGTTTGAATGCGTTGCGCCTCAGCGGGGTTTGATAACAGTGGTCGATGACGAAAAGCAGTACGACGGCCAGAAGGACGGTTACAACGGGGAAGAGGTTTAGGACGGTAGGAAGTCGGAGAAGAATTTGCTGCAATTTCTAAAGCAAGTGATCGAGTTTCCACGACAAATTCATCGCAAAGTGAACAGAACTCTGACCATGGGATGTCACTGGAGAAGGCAGAAGTCCATTTGTCCTTAAAAGCATCTCTTTTCAAACTTGAATCAGATGGAGTGGGTTGCGAAGGTTGGAATTGCGTGTTGTTATCATCTTGGTTAGGGGATGATAAAGGATCGATCTCACTATCAATTGGAGGTTGTACTTCATACGTTGAACTATCATTTGGTATAGCAGAGTTAAGAAGGTCATTAGCATCAGTTTGAACAACTGGAGAGGAGGGACTAGAAGGATGTCGTGACGATCTGGGAGAAAAGAAATCCGAAGCCGTCGGTCTCTGATACCGTCTGTAGGAAGTACGGTCTTTCTGGTAAAGTCTCGGGGAAGGACCCGATGCGGGAGGGGAGAACCTGGAGGAGTCGTTAGCGTCAGAAGATAAGGAAATTTCCGTCGCAGAAGCTGGCGAGGAAGTCAGACCAACTGTTTGTGGAGGTCTTTGTGGGAATAAGGGAGGAAGGTTGCCACATTCATGAATGAAACGAGATAAGGGGCTTGAGTTGGGTTTAGGTTGATTGAGCGAATCTTTAAAGGGGTCCGAATCATGAACCTTTTCCTGTGGTTTAGATTGGTTGGCAGGGTCCGACGTCAGTCCACCAGGGATTGGTTGATAAACTTGATGGTAGAGATTGTGAGACGGAGGATGACAAAATGGATTGGTCAACAGATGAAGAATGTTTATTACAAGTACGTCTAGTTGAACGGCGAGGACCAACACCAGCAGAAGATTCACTTGAAACATCTGATGTAACATTAGGATTAATGGCAATACGGGACATTATAGGGGTCGGGCTTGGTGGAATGTTTGTTTTTGTTTTTGAAACACCATGTGCACGTTGGCAATGAACACTTGCGCCTTGAGCATTTGGAAAATCTTTATTGCAAATTAGACAATGCGCAGATGCCGTGAGAACAGTGTGAGGGTGAACTGTTTCAAAATGACGTTTTAAATTAGGGAAATTGACAGTGGTATTTCCACAAAGACAGCAAATAAAATTCTTTCCTTCGGGATAAGATCTCACTACCGAAACCGATTTAACAGAAGAGCTGTTAGTGCTGTGTATTTTAGTGCGATGACCACAAGGCCACCTTGGGACGACGATGAAAAAATGCAGTCAGGACAGTTGAATAACCGAGTAGTTGTTGATGAATGAGACATAACGTAATTAAGACATTAAAACTGATAAACCAAAGTTAAAGTAAGCAACATATTGCTTATTGGGTAATTTGATGCCATTACAAGATTTCAACAGGAGACGACGCACGATACAGAAACATGAACCATTAATAAACTAAAATCTTGAATGATAATTACAATGTCAAAATCCATCACGGGCTTACATGGTCCAAAATCCAATTAACAACGTATTCGAGGCCATAAAGGGAAATTCCCGAGATTCTCCAAGAATAGATTACTGTAATTAATTAAGTGGTAATTGTGACCGTTGAAAAACACAAATCTCAATCTAGTTTGAATTCTTTTAAAGATCCAGACACGAAACTTGGTACATATGTTTCGCTGTTGAATAGCTATAACCTGTCGAAGTTTCAGAAATAAATCGCAAGAATTACTCCATTAAAGGCGGAAAATATAAACTCTGGTACACAATAATAATAACAACACGACGACACGCTACAAACACGAAAAGTCCAATTATATATCGAAAACTCCACCGGTTTAAACCAAAAGTTATACCAGAAGATTGAGAAAACCAGTATGGATATGAGGCATACGATAAAAAACCCCAAAAAGTTAAAATTCAGTGAGAAATCGATAGACAAAGTAATCGTTGCCAAGGAAACAAACTGGCGACGCTTTAAATAATATGCGGATATAAAATAATTGAACAACGAAAACTCCAGTAATTTGAAAACTATTTGTTGACAAACTTGCATACAACACGTATAACACAGTTGTTCAGTCACATAGTTAAAATTATGAACAGGGAACCAATATTAGAAGCGATAATAAACCAAAACCAAAATCTTCCTGATGTAGCGTCCGGGATGCCAGTAAATAATATAATCCAAAATAACACGATTGATTCAAACCAAAGCGGAACAAAAATAACACAAGTTGAAGGATGATGAAACCTTACCTTCAAAATGATATGCGAATCTCCAATATACAAGAGTGGGTAGTAGCGAAGTAGTTGTAGTTCGCTACTGTAGCGAACTACAATTTTCAAGTAGCCAGTAGTTTTTGACTACATTTTTAAAACAGTAGCTGTAGTTATAGCGAACTACATTTTGCCTAAAAGTAGCCAAGTAGTTGACTGCTTTTCAAACAGCAAATCGCTATTCGCTACTTTTAAAAATTGTTAACAACTTGATAGAATAGCATGATAGAATAGCATGATATTGAGATACGGTTTGCTTAAAATCGATACTCAATAGTCAATTTGCACTCCTGAGCACTGTAGTGATTACAAATTAAAATGTTGCTTTGTGTTTACTGTTGCTACTCGTAAGTCCATTTGTTATAGGTTACATTACAGTCTGAGTTAGTATAGATGCTCCAAATACAGTAAAACTAAAAAATATAGCGTAGGCGTAGCGAAATAGCGAAATAGTTCGCTACATTTTTTAAGCAGTAGCTATAGTCAGTAGCGAACTACCTTTGTTCAAAAGTAGCAGTAGTTGTAGGGCATATTGTAAACACTGGACTACCTTTGTTCAAAAGTAGCAGTAGTTGTAGGGCATATTGTAAACACTGGACTGGACTTTGGACTGGACTATGGACTATGGACTTTGGACTTTGGACTTTGGACTTTGGACTAATGGACTTTGGACTTTGGACTATGGACTTTGGACTTTGGACTTTGGACTATGGACTTTGGACTTTGGACTTTGGACTATGGACTTTGGACTTTCGATTTTGAAATTATATTATTTTTAAGATTTTCGTATAATTATATTTGACTATGGACTTTGGACTTTCGATTTTGAAATTATATTATTTTTAAGATTTTCGTATAATTATATTTGTGCATGATATAATAATATTCAAGGTAAAAAATACTATCAGTTATATAGGTATACCAGTGCAATTTCATAGATATAGCTTGTGGGATAACAGGATCATCTCAGTAATATTTTTAATTTAATATTTAAATTTTATTATAATATTTGTATTTATAGTATGTATAGTACAGTTCATACTGCAGAACTTCTTCTTTATCGTATAGATAATAATAGATTTATAGAAACAATTGTGACAAAAGTAGCTTGGCAAATACAAAATATTGAGAAACTAGCACGTATAAGTATAAACTATACACGCGATTATTATTGCGCCTTTGGCTTTGAACAATTATTCGCCAAGGCGAGGCCGTGATTATCGGGGATTTTGTAGTCTCCCTCGCAGCCGCCAGTTGTGTCAAATTTGACCAATCAACTTGACAACTTGTAGGATATGTTATTCACTTGCGCAAAAATACTAATAGTTCTAATGACGGTATTGTTCATCTTTGCATAATAGTTTACACCGGTTTAGCGCCTTACGATTCCCGCCTGGTTCATCACTTGCAAGTGATGAACCAGGCGGGAATCGTAAGGCGCTAAACCGGTGCTAGACTACCTGAAGCACATAGACATAGATTTTTGCCTTCTCACACACAACTGAGTTAAACAGGGGCGAAACTAGCCCCTTTTAATTAGGGGGGTGTCTGGCAGAATTGCCCTGCCAAAACCAGTGATGCCCTGCCATGGGCGTACCGGAAGGAAAAAATTAGGAGGGCGGAAAGAAAATTGCCCGACTTTTCAAAAATTGCCCGACTAGTACCAAAAAAATTTCGGTCTGTGTACCATTTTAGGGGTCAAAAAAATTTTCCGGACAACCTATATTTTTCGGAACATAACACAAATTTTTGAAAAATCACACAATTTGCGAAAAAATTGACTTAATTTTAGATAAAATTGACTGAATTTGTCCCATTTTTTTTTTCCAAACCAAAATTGCCCGACTGTTGATCGAATATTGCCCCCGCCCGGTACGCCTATGTGCTATCATTTATTTATAAGAGACCTTTGATTGCCCTGCCAATCGGGATGATTCGTATTTTGGGGGGGTGCAACACCCCCCCATACCCCCCCTCAAGTTTCGCCCCTGACTGAGTAGGTCTTAAAAAGTGTGTAAATTTCCGTTCGAATATTCCTGTCCATCTACTAACACTTATTAATAATAACTGGAGCACTTAGTCTTAGTGATAAGGATAGCTAACTAGAATGTCTTTCAAAAATAAGTAACATTAACAAAACGTTACTGTGTAACAGAGTAAACAATTACACAATTCAGTACTAGTATAAACTATTATGCAAAGATGAACAGTCACAATACTCAATACTCAATAATAGGCGCAATAATAATCACTTGTATAGTTAATATTTTGTATTTGCCGACGGACACTTTTGTCGCATTTGTTTGTGACAATTAATCTATTATCTATATGATAAAGAAGAAGTTCTGCAGTATAAACTGTACTATGCATCAGCTATAAATACAAATATTATATAAAATTTAAATATTAAATCCCAAAATATTGGATAATCCTGCTATCCTACAGGCTATATCCGTATGAAATTGCACTGCTGGTATACCTATACTAGAGATTTTTTACCTTGTATATTATATCATGCATGAGCATGCAGCGTAGCACGCTTTTCAGCAGCAAATTTTCGTTCTCTGTTTAGATTTTAATATAATTACACGAAAATCTAAAAAAAAATATAATTTCAAAATCGAAAGTCCAAAGTCCAAAGTCCAAAATCCATAGTCCAAAGTCCAGTCCAAAGTCCAGTCCAGTGTTTACAATATGCCGTAGTTGTAGCTGACTACATATTTTTGAAGTAGCTGTAGTTATAGCGAACTACAAAAATTTTGTAGTCAACCCACCCTTGCCAATATAGCTTAGGGGTTGCGCTAAAACGATCAAAATAACACGGCGAACTCTCGGTCGCAAACTCTCAGTCAACCCACCCTTGCCAATATAGCTTAGGGGTTGCGCTAAAACGATCAAAATAACACGGCGAACTCTCGGTCGCAAACTCTCGACTACACTACACTACACTACACTACACTACACTACACTACACTACACTACACTACACTACACTACACTACACTACACTACACTACACTACACTA